AAAAAAAACACCAGACCTTTTGGCTCTCTTCGGATCGATCAGAGCCAGCTCCGCGAGCTTATCCGCCGTCATCGCTGCCTTCGAAAAATCCGAAGAAGGCGGCACCGACTCCCCTTCGAACGGAGACGTCGACCCGTCCATAGAGCTGCTGTGCCGATGCTGCGGCTTCTTCTCCTGTGCAGAGCCACTGGTGGCTCCGGGAGCCTGGAATCCCAACCCATCGAAGAAAGCTGTGTCCAACGATAGACTCCTCAAGTGAGCTCCACCTACGGAAGGTCTTGATACCGGATTCACCGCTAACGGCTTTGATGTGCCGCCGGAATCGGTGGGAATGGGAATGGCAGCGGCGGTGGTGGTGCTGCCGAATTTGTTTTCATCTGAAAGAGAGGGAAAGTCGATATCGGAGAAGTTGAAGTCGGGGTCGGAATCAAACAGGAACTCTTCGGTGAGGCGGAAGCTCTCCGAGTAGGCCCGCCGGTGGCCGGAGCTCCTAGGGTTCGGCGGAATCTGGCCGCCGGCAAAGCGCTGGTTCTTCTGCAGAGTTTCGAGCGGCCGATTCGAGTCCATGCCCGTGTGTTACGGCCCACCAAGACTATAGTGCGCGATGACCTCAGAAAAATAAGGGCGGGGGGAAGAAATAAAGATGACTATAGTAGAAATGCAAAGAAAATTTATTTTTCTTAAAAAAAATTATTCATTTAAAATTATATTTTATCCTTTTTCCCAACTTTATAATAAGTTTAGGAGTGAAGTGTCAAAATAATCAATGACTATTTATTTACATGAAAAAAATTTTGTGTTTGGATGGAAGCAGCGTCTGAACAACGGGCTCAATACACGGGGTGAGGGCTTTTTTTCTCTTACGTTCCTCCGGTGAATCGCGTCCGTTGTCTGGATGTTGCTTGCGTCTAGACTCCGTATGCAATATTTCTTAATTTACGTGAAGACATTTTAGTCTTCGAGGTTATAGAAATGTCAAAATACTCTCAGCTTATTTTAAAATTGAACTCTAATAGTCTTTCATAAGCGTTATTTTAGGCCCAATCTAAAATTGGACTTTGATAGTCCTCCGTATAAATCATATCAGCCTAAATATAAATTTGAGCTCTAAGAATCTTACAAACATTATTGCAGCTTACTATTATATTCTACATGAGAATTTATGGTCTATGTTGCTCACGGCTCAATGAACTTCAATTTCGATCTATGTGCCCTAAAAACGTTATAGCAGCTCACCACTATGTCTGTGTGGCTCACAACTTATGCAGGTTTCAACGCTGACCTTCGCAATCTGCAAACGTTATTGCAGCTTATTACTACGCCCTATGTGGCACGCAGTTGATACAACTAGGGTTGAAAGCGAGTCGAGCA